TGGCAGGGGGTTGGACTGGATGGCCCATGAGGTCTCTTCCAACTCTTTGATTCTATGATTCTATGATTATTGCCTGCTTGGGCCAGCTTCCATGGAATGTGGTCACAGCAGCAGCTTCAACCAGGAGACTTCCTTTCTGCTTTACTTTCTTCACCTTCCTAACATTGTAACAAAATCCCCCCAATAAAGTATTAATTAATTGTAACTTTTTTCTCTTGATAGTGTTACTTTGTGTCCTTTACTGCCAACCCGCACTCCAAAAACTAGATTGCATCTCCAATCCTTACTCTGCCTCTTTTTCTGATGCCCCAATACCATTGCCAGAAGGTTGCCCAGCTAAGCAATGAGCATGTTTACAGACTCTTGCTATGTGAGCTACATTTTGCAATGTTTCTTTCTCTTCCAAAGCCTTTTATTCTCTTCTATCTATATTTTGATCCTGCTGAATCTCCAGGACTTTAGGGAGGATTACGGAGGGTCCAGATTGTTTCTAAGAAATCCAAGGGTATAAAACAGATCAATGTAAAACCTTGCCACATCCTGTCACAAATTATTTCAAACCAAGACCTCACAAAATAGCCAATTAACATTGGCTAGCCTCCGAGGCAATGTTTTGCAATAACTCCGGAAAATAGTCAGCATTCAATTTTTGGCACGTCTTCGGGAGGAAGGAAACTTGAAATAGCCAAATAATTGCCAAGACCTTCATGACAACAGTAGGAAGCATTTGGTGTGTGCACAGATGAGGAGGAAGATGGGAAGGAGGAAAAGAGAGAGATAGCTGTTCATTCGTTTGAGACAGCAAAAAAGCCAGGTAAAACATAAAGCATTCTTACTTATTTACTTAGGCGATCCCTCGTTTTCCGAGGAGGATTGTCTTCCAGTATTCTTGTGGGTCCATATGTGGCTGTGGAGCCCTATTCTTGCTCTGCATCTTCTTCCGCAGTGAGGGCATTGGTTTCCAGGTGGAAGGCGGTCTCGGACGGGGTTGGCTTGACGCGCCTTCCTCTTGGCACGCTTCTCCCTTTCGCCCTCCATTCATGCCTCTTCAAATTCTGCAGCACTGCTGGTCACAGCTGACCTCCAGCTGGAGCGCTCAAGGGCCAGGGCTTCCCAGTTCTCAGTGTCTATGCCAGAGTTTTTAAGGTTGGCTTTGAGCCCATCTTTAAATCTCTTTTCCTGTCCACCAACATTCCGTTTTCCGTTCTTGAGTTCAGAGTAGAGCAACTGCTTTGGGAGACGGTGATCGGGCATCTGGACAACGTGGCCAGTCCAGCGGAGTTGATGGCGGAGGACCATCACTTCAATGCTAGTGGTCTTTGCTTCTTCCAGCACGCTGATATTTGTCCGCTTGTTTTCCCAAGAGATTTGCAGAATTTTCCGAAGACAGTGCTGATGGAATCGTTCTAGGTGTTGCATGTGACGTCTGTAGACATTCCACGTTTTGCAGGCATATAGCAGGGTTGGGAGGACAATAGCTTTATAAACAAGCACCTTGGTATCCCTACAGATGTCCCGGTCCTCAAACACTCTCTGCTTCATTCGGAAAAATGCTGCACTCGCAGAGCTCAGGCTGTGTTGTATTTCGGTGTCGATGTTGACTTTGGTGGAGAGGTGGCTGCCAAGGTAGCGGCAATGGTCAACATTTTCTAATGTTACACCATTAAGCTGTATCTCTGGCATTGGAAAGGGATTGGCTGGTGACTGCTGGAAGAGCACTTTGGTTTTCTTGATGTTTAATGACAGGCTGAGCTTTTTGTGTTCTTATAGAATCATAGAATCATAGAATCAAAGAGTTGGAAGAGACCTCATGGGCCATCCAGTCCAACCCCCNGAGCTGCTCATATGCTTCTGCGAAGGTGTTTAGAGTGGCTTGTAGGTCTTCTTGTGAATGTGCACAGACAACGTTGTCATCAGCATACTGGAGTTCTGTAATAGATGTTCATTACCTTAAGGCAACCCTATCACAATTGTTTCTTCAGAGGGGATTTCCCATTGCCTTTTTCTGAGGCTGTGCGTGACTTGTCCAATGCCTCCCAGGGTGCATCTACACAGTAGAATTAATGCTGTTTGGCATCACTTTAACTGTCATGGCTCAGTCTTAGGGAATCATGAGAGTTGTAATCTCATAACGTCTTCTCTGCCAAAGGGTGCTGGCGCCTCAACAAACTACAACTCAAATGATCTTATAGGGAGGAAGTCATAAACTCCCAAGAGATCTAAAGCAGCTTGAAAACAACTGCTTTAAGGGATCACAAATCCCACTTTCAAATAGTCCATTCATAAAAAAAAAAACTCACAAAAGTGGCAGAGTTGAAATGCCAGTGAATAAAACTATAGGACAATAGCCTAATTTAAAATCAGCTCAACAATGGCAGTTAAAGTGGTGTCATGCTGCATTAAATCTGCAGTGTAGATGCTTTTCCCAGTATCCTGGAATCCTAGTTCAGGTATACTAAAATTAGCTAGATTTAAGAGTAAAAAAAAAAAAAACCCTACAAAAGTCCTGTCACTTCTTGGTAAAAATATACCATATTAAATAACTTACAATTTGCTGTCCTTCTTGTAAAATCCTTTATCTGCTTACCTAGA